AAATGAACAGTACCTTCGGGTTCGGGTGGTGCATGAGGTTCGGTCCTGAGAGGACCTTTCGGGTTCGGTTCTTCCTGGGCGAGGTTCGGCCCTGAGAGGACCTTCGGGTTCGGTTCTTCCTGGGTGAGGTTCGGGTTCAGCAGATGCTCAGTCCTCTTGGTTTCGGTTCTTAGCAAGTTCGGTCCCTATAGGGACCTTCGGTTCTAAGAGGCTTCGGCCCTAATAAGAGGGCTTCGAGTCCTTAAGCCTATTTTACTCGTTTTTACCCCGTTTTAAGCCGTTTTTTACCCGGTTAAGGATCGGGATGGCCCGAAAGACTGTAAAAAGTTTAAGGAACTTTTGAGAGAGATTTGGGAGAGATTTCATATTCTTGGAGAGATTTGGGAGAGATTTGACATACTTAGAGGGGTTTCTCATACAAAGAGAGATTTGGGAGAGATTTCACATTCTTGGAGAGATTTCTCATACAAAGAGAGATTTGGGAGAGATTTCACATTCTTGGAGAGATTTCTCATACAAAGAGAGATTTGGGAGAGATTTGACATGCTTGTAGAGATTTGGGAGAGATTCTCGATTAAAGTGAGATAGAGTGATTGAGAGAGGTTTCGTGTGTGACAAATGTGAGTGTCCGGCTTCGCAATGCAAGGTCCGTAAACCCTGTTAAACCTTGTTTAAGGATCTTACACACTCCTGATGAGTATGCAATATTGTTTTATCAGTTTGGTTTGTTACTTACCACGGTTTTAGGTTAAGGAAGTCTAGATGTACGTACTTTTCGATTTATGATCTCTCATCAGAATAGCGAGTTGTTTAGTAAATACATAACGTAAGCCCTAGTACACAAGGGTTACTTGAGTTGACCGGTTTGACTTGTTGACTTTATTTGACTTTGAATTGACCAGAATTTGACGGTTGTCGTAGTAAGAGTGGATACCCATTCAATCGTCATATTATATGCAATTTCCTTAAACACCCCTTATGGACCAGCTTCGTGAATGAGGCCTACTAACGGTAAGATTGATATATATATATATATATATATATATATATATATATATATATATATATATATATATATATACATATATATATATATATATATATATATATAATGTTAGACTTTTAATATTATATATAGTATAGGGTGTGTTTTACACATTGAAAATACTAGGTGGTCAAATTTAATAATTATACCTTTAATTCAATTAAATTGTAAACCAAAACTATTATGGATTTATTAAACCTCTTTTAATTATACTCCTTAATTAATTAATAAAACCATAAGGGTGTGATTTGAATCTTGTCAAAACAATACTAGGGTCTTTGAATTTAACATTCCTAATTAAACTTTTAATCAACTTTTAAATTCCAAAATTTGAGGGCAAGTTTTGAAACATTTCAAAACATTAGGGTTTAGAATTTAAATATACATCAAAATTAAACTTTTAATCAAAATTTAAATTCCAAAACTTGAGGGCAAGTTTTGAAACCTTTTTCAAAACATGAGGGTTTTAACTATTTAAATTTCAAAACAACAAAACTTTTGAGTTCAAATTTAAACTATAAAACCTAAAGGGGGAAATATGAAACTTTTCATAACACAATGATCAAATAACAGATAATCTAAATTAACATTTAATTACATAATTATCTATATTTGATTTATTTAATGATTTCTTGCAAAACAATTTACCAATTTAATCAAAATAATTAATCAATTATCACATAAGGAAACAAATATTTTATTAATTGATAAATATCTTCAATTAGATCAAGAATATACTCATATATATAAAAAACGGATTTATATTGATCTAACATGATAAGGCAAGTATCCTCAAGCAAAAACACCAAGAAATCCCGTTTTTTCCTCTTTCTGACCGACTGAGTCGTCGAGTCAAGCATGGACTCGGCGAGTTCATCTATAGACTTAGCGAGTTCAGCCCCCAGAATCCCAAAATTTCGATTTTTAAGCTTGGACAAACAAACAAAGCATCAATATAATAGAAACCAATCATGGCTCTGATACCACTGATGGATTTTGGTCTTAAGAACATCCTATGTGCTCATACAAACCCTAATGCTTGGATCTAGGTTTCTCTATTGTACATGCAAGTTATCCAAGACTATAAACCCTAATTCTAGCATACAAGTAATCATATTAACATAAGAATGGGTTTAAGACATTACCTTGATTGTTATGTAGCAATAACAATCTCAATTCCTCCTTGTATTGACTTTAGAAAGCTTAGAGTCACAAATGTCACTCCTCTAATGGTTCACAAACACCAAGAGCAAGAGGATGAAGAGGAGAGAGGATGGAGGCTGCCCAAAAACATGTGAAACCCTAGAAGGATGCTTAGCCCCGTTTTTGGGTCATAAGGGATGTATATATAGTTAGGCTATTAGGGTTATCCAACAAGGAAATCCTAATTTGGATGCTTAAGCCCTAAGCAACTCATAGATTCCTTTCCTTAAGGCCTTGGACGATTTCTTATGGGTTTTCCCATAGAATTCGTCCACTCCTTAATATAAGGCAATCCATGGCCCAAATTGCAATTATCTTATAATTACAATTCCAGTCCCTTAAGTTTAATTAATCTCTTTTAGTCACAAAACTAATTACCAATTAATTCTTGACTACTATTAATTAAAAAATATGATTTCTCCTTTAATATATTATTCTCATAATATATTAATAAATCATATTTAATCCTTTCTCTCCATAATTCATCCTATCAAGTTGCTTTGATGAAGGCAACCCAAAAGGACCATGCACCATCGGGTCAAGTACATACCAAAATAGTTATAGACTTAGACACTAATCCCACAGTGTCTGCATAAGATCCCTACATGTTCAAAATGCATACAAGTACATTTGAATGAACCATGTTTGGTTGAGTGTGTTACCTGGAATATATAAGATGATTAGTGAGAATGTTTAAGTTGTAAATTTTTAGTGTTTAAATGCAAATGATAAAATGACAATTAATGTGAAAAAAAATATATATCGTGTATTCAGTATCCCTTATAAGACAATCGTAATTGTATTCCTCATCTTTGTCATCAACATCGACATCATTTGTTTGCCTAATAGTTATGTTGTTTTTTCTCTCCAGAACAATAATTGTGTCAACATCGTTGGAAGATATCACATTCTTTTGGAAACAATTAACTTAAGCTCTTGATATCTCTTTCTGAACCTAATAAAAAATCTTGTGTGTATATACATTTCAAGCATGAGGTTCATTCGGACTACGAGTAATGAATTTAGGAAAAGTGGTGGCGGTATTAAAATCACTGAGAATTTGTTTATGGCGTTGTCGTTCCATGATTGATTCAAATGTCATCATAAACAGGACAAGATAAGGACCGGTTAACGTTGTGGTTTGAAATGACCAATTCTGACTTTCAGACAGCGATGTAGTTCGCATAAGACCAGACATTGGAATGTGCTTGAAAAATGCGGGGATCCAAGATTTTTGCAAACCATACATGGTATTCATCCAACTATTATCAGTAATTTTAAACTCCCCCAACATCAGACGCCATACATTATCGAATTCATGTGGTTCCAGCTTAGAATTTCAAATTATAGAGTACAAACGCTTTCGAAATTTTTGATTGGTGGTTGCATCTTCAATTGATAAAATCTATATAAATTGATTATGTTAGAATATGATGACATGAAGGTATAATATGAAAAAATAATAGTAGAATCATAACAGAAAGTAAGAGTTAAAGTAATTGATTTGGGTCAAATTAATTGATTCTCTCAGAATATGAGAACTAGGAAGAAAAAGTAATTGTATAATTATAACAAAAACTAAGAGTTAGCTGAATTGATTCTGGTAGAATATGAGATAATGAAGGTAGATTATGAAAAAATCAATGAAGAATGATAAACAAAAATTAAGAGTTAAAGCAATTGATTCTGTTAAAGCAATTGATTCTGTTAGATTATGAGAAAATAATTGTAGAATCATAACAAAAAAATATAAATAATAGTCGTTTTATGCATACCTTATTTGGTAACTTCTTGGTTATATGCCACATACATAACCTATGATGTGCCAACGGGAAAACCTTATCTATAGCTTTTTTTCAAAGCTGGATCTTGCTCAGATAAAACCAATTGAGGTTGTTTTCTAAAAGCTTTCAAAAAAAGTTGTAAGCAACCATTCATAAGAAACTCCATCTTCTTTACTTAAAAGTCCAACACCAAATGTTACACATTTTTTGTGATTATCGATTCCAGTAAATGGAACAAAATACCTATTTTAAAAATAAAATATTCGTTTACGTAACTAAAAATAATGAAATTCTTAGTGAAAAGTATAAAAGGTTAGAAATACTTATTCATGCTGAATGTGGCATCGAGTGATACAACGTCTCCGAATGAATTGTAATTATACTTTGCTGTTTCATCTGCCCAGAATAGAGCATTCAATCTATTGTTCAACACTTTATACTTAAAAGTAAATGATGGCACATTTTTCTTCTTGTCATTCATCTTGTAGACAAGGAATTTCGCGTCCCTCCTACCTATGTAACAATTAAGATTCCTCCTAGCATTCTTGAAATCAGAAACCAATCCACCTCGAACCGAAGGACCAACCTGAAGAGAACTATACAGTCTTTGTGCTTTTACAGGACCAATGTTTTGTTTTGACAAATTATGAATGAAAATTTCTTGGAAATAATCAAGTGTTCTTTTTGAACGAGATAAGTGCATATTGCCCTTGCTAAACAATTCATGATTATGTTGCTCTACAAAATCACTCATGATATATCTAAGAGTACCGGGAATTATTTCTAAAACAACTTTCGCTTTACAATTCCTCCTAAATAAATCTTTTGAGTCTTTTTATGTTAAATGTCTAGAGTATCTACGTTAGTAGTATTTGGATTACATTCCCGATTGCACACAAGATGTCTATTTGTAATAATCCCATTTATCGTTTTTTGGACTCTTCCAAGCCTGACATCAAAACCAGATTCTAATGCATATTTTCTATACGTTGTTTCTGCTTCACATATGAATTAAATTTTGATGAAACTTTTGGTTTGATGTCGTCTGAAACAATCGGAGTCCAATACAAGGTGCCACCAGGATAAACATAATCATAAGTAACATGTGGTTGTCCTGCTTAAACATAGCAAATACAAAATTATTCTAAAAGAATTATATAAATATTAAATACAAAATTACAATATCCTGAATTGAATTTAGTACATTCACTGAAATCAATATTAAACTTTGTGTCTTCATGAGTAACATGTGCTTGTCCTGCTTAAAATAACAAATACAAAATCATTCTGAATGAATTATATAAATACTATTCTCAATGAATTTTATTTTTTCTGTAAAAACTTCAATATCATAAATTGAATTTAGTACCTTCACTGAAATCAATATTAACCTCTATGTTTTCATCAACGAAATGATTTTCGTCTTCTGCATTATTTGCGTCCTCTGTATGTTCATCAATGAAAATATTAACATGTTTGTTACAATATAGAATCTGAAATACAATGAAAAATTAAACAAAATATTAAAAAAAACTCACCTAAATTAGGATTACTGCTTTCTCCTATTTGAAATCCGCCATTATATAGTGTATCATTATCAGGAAAATCGAAATCTTCAATTCCATCGTCATCATTACTAGCCAAATAATGCTCCTCATAAATAAGATTACTGACATCTGGTTCTTGATCTCCCATTGCTAAGAAATTCCGATAGTGTTTGTATATGCTTTGTAAGTTGCAGAACTAAAATATTATAAACTGTCATACAAACCAGATATGGATGAAAACCGATTCTATGCAAATTAAAAAGTCTTGATATTAGGGATCATTGATAAAAATAAATGATTCCGATTTGAGTTTTTTTCAAAAACATGATAAAGAAAAAAATATTCATAAGATATTATATTCACATTCCAAATATAAAAAATTCCAACAGTACATTAAATTAATTACTTAACAATATTATGAACCCCCAATATTATTATGTATTTTTTTTAAAAGGTTGTAGAATATTTTATTAAAGACATAATTCTATTAGAATGGTATATCAATATGGATTCCAAAACTATGCATGCTATCATAATGAAATAATTATGTTAGAATACCCTTGCAAATATAACTTATAAAACTTATCAATTTGTGTTAGCTCGAATCAATGCACGCATTGAATATCATTATGTTAGAATAATAAATAGATATCACTAACAAAAAATGCTTACAATTCCCAATTTTTAACATTATGTGTGTTGATTTTTTGAAACATCAAACAAATTGAATGAAATTTAATGAACATTGTTTTTTGACATAATGTTGGAATGAAAACTATAATATTTTGCTCTGGTATTCTGTTGGAATGATAAACTGATTGATCATATAAAACATAAATATAGCAGAAAACACGAACACCTTATTAGTTGTAACCATAATAATTAAAGAAAGGCACATAGAATTCATCAAACGACAACTTTATTACACTGATCTGAAACTTAATAATACCATATAATTCATCAAAAACATACTTTTATTTTACTAAAATCAAACTAAATAATATCTAAAAACGACCAATTTGATGAATTTCTTGTAGATCTATGATTTCTTCAATCAAAAAGGACAGTTCCTGCTATCATGACTAACTCCAAAGCATGTTTTACATTCTCTTTTTTTCTTCACAACTTCATTCACCGGATTCTTGGGATCATTTACATTACCCAGCTCCTTCTCGGGATTTTGATCTTCATTATCCTGGAAGATTATCAGATTTCATACATATGTATATGTAAAAACAGAAAAAGGGTGTGTGGGGGACGTTTGAAACAATATCTTCATTATCGTATACAGATGCTACTAAATATGTAGCAATACCTGGTTCCGATTTCCAGTATGAACATCCATCGAATGTGTAAAACAAATTGATCAGCAAGTAATAGAATTGACAATTGTGATCTATGTTTTTTTTTGGGGGGGGGGGGGGGCGTTAGAATCGATTATATAGTGAAAATTAAAATAAAGATAACTAAATCAATCATAAATCATTGCCTAATATAAAGGGATAAGAAATCAGACTAAATGAAGAATTAAAATTAAAGATTACATAATTACCCTCATGGATTAAATAAATAAATTAATAATTTGCTAAATTGTGATTGGTGCATCCATACACAAAATACTTGTTGAAAACATTTGAACCTAACTATATATATATATATATATATATATATATATATATATATATATATATATATATATAGTTAGGTTCAAATGTCATCCAGTGTTAAGCAATCATCGATATTCATGGCTGGGAGGTTCGCCGTTCAAGACAGATTCGCAACCCAAATTCATCAATTTCATCGATTTCTTTGTTGAATACTCTGAATGTTCGTAGCTTGCAAGCATTTGTTAAAGTTCATAATGGATTTGGAACTGGAATTTCCCAGATTCGCAAACGAACTCAGATGGAATCGGAATTTCTTCGTTGTTCATGAAATTTGAATCGGAGTTCTGGACTCACAGTCACAATCGACATTGAAGGACTCGGAATCGGTACTCACAGGTTCCCAATCGAATTTTCGGAAATCAAAATCAAAATGAGAAAGCGATCAGACATAGGATGTCGCATCTGAAGTCGAAATCGAAAGTATATGATGATTTGGAATTGATAACTTGAATCGGAAGTATCATGTTTTTAACATTTTTAAAATAGTTAACTTGTATGCACTCCAACTGTTTGATGAAATGCATAAACTAAATTACCATGTTATATTCAAATATGAATATGTTTTCTCACCTGAATCAGTATATGATTATTAAAAACACAAAACAAATATGCAAGTATGTATGTTATTTATATGTGAATAACATATAAAAAATAAATATATTTGTGAAAATACCTTCTAATATTCATATTTGAATATACTGTGTAATATTCATATGTGAATATATAATCTAATATTCAAAAATGAATTAACTATGTAATATTCACAATGTGATATACCATGTAATACTATGTAATATTCACATATGAAAATATTATTTAATATCCATAACTTAATATACCATCTAATATTCACAAGTGAATATATATTATGTTAATATTCACAAGTGAATGCATCGTCTAATATTTAAATATGAATATACTATGTTTATTATATATTATATTCATATATGAATGATACTTAAATTGTAAAAAAAAATAATCATACTTTTTATTCATAAGTGAATAACAAATGTACTGTAATAAAAATCTGATGCATTTTTATTCACTTATAAATAACGATAGCTGAAAGTATAAAAAAATAGTTTTTTATTTTAATTTATCTTAAAACTATATTAATATGAATGTCTATTTGTAGAGAATAAAAAATCATGAATTTTGGTATATTTAAAATTATTTTTCGATAAAAATAACTTCTTAAAAAATTTTTAAAAAAATGAAAAAACTATGTTCTTGTATATAGTAAGGTAATGATTAACATAGTTTAAGGAAACATGTTTTGTTGAAAAACACATGTCTATTCCTTTCTTAATCCCGCTGGTACGATGGAGATTTTTGCGGCAAAAATAAATGAATTGCTAAGAATGATTCGTCCATTCCCAACCTTTTTTTCTCAATTGAACCATCTCTCTCTCTCTCTCTCTCTCTCTATATATATATATATATATATATATATATATATATATATATATATATATATATATATATATATATATATATATATATATATATATATATATACTACTTATAAAAGAAATCTAACTATTTTCTATAAATAGATTGAATATAATAATAATATTTTTTTAAGACGTCCAAACTATTAAGCTTGAAGTACAACCCATTTATAATATAATAATATTAAAACTTTAACCCTATCCTTTATCCCCTAAATATCTCGTATCAAATTAATAGAAGAATTCATTTGCAAATTGAACCCGTCAATCTCAATACTTCAGTCATTTGAAGCGGTCAATGTCAACAATTTATAGAGGATCTCTTCTCTCACATTGGTAACAAGTCATCTCATAATATCTATCTTCGTAATCCCTTCAAAGTAAGAAATATACGCACACCCTCTCGAAGAACTCTAACCAGTAACCAAGACAGTATAACCACCACCACCACAGCCGCTCTCCCTCCTTCCGCCTTCAACCAACCACTATCACGACTACCGTCCTTCCTCTCACCCACGACATGAACTTTCTTTTGGGACATAACATTTTTCTTTAAAAAAATATCGTTGAAAGAAGCTATTTGTCCCCGCCGCTGTGCGCGGGTAACGGCTAGTATATATATATATATATATATATATATATATATATATATATATATATATATATATATATATATATATAAACTAAAACATAATTATGCATATTTGATTGAATACCTTAAACTTTAAAATAAAAACAAGGTACATCATAATACAATAGTTTCCTATAAATGTATAGTTTCGAATCTTTCTTCATGAGACCCATTGGTGTAAAAATGAAAATATAATTTATGATTCTGTAAGTAACATTTTTAATCAAACAATAATATTACTAACTGGTAGTTAAAATTTGTATTATTAAAATAATTTTTCAATCCAATTAACATATATAATATTTTATCTTTTTTTTTTAACAACAAACTAATCACTCATGATCTTTCAATTTAAAGAATCATTTTTTAACGTTAGGACAAAGATTCTTTGTTAATATTTTTGTCTTTTAAATAAAAAAATATAGATTTTTATTAAAGTTAATATAAAAAGATAAATTAAAATAAAACATATAACCAAAATCATAAACAAAAATTATCGATAACTATTTAATAAAATATTATATAATTTCTGTCTTTTTATTAAAATATATGACTATGTTTTTTATAAATTTATTATGGGGTTATGGCATTTAATTTTATAATATTGAAATGTCTAATTTGATTTTACTCAATTATAAAATAAGAATAATATAAATAGTTACTTATTAATATTATATTATATTATATTATATTATATTATATCGGAACTTTTTTATGGTTATATAAAAGAATAATGATTTAAAAGGGTAATATATTTTTTATACGTACACATTTGGTCATTAAGTTTTTATGTCTATATTTTACCATTTAACTTGTTTTTTTGTCTATATTTAGTCATTATAGTCGGCTACTCTAGGTTAAGCCGAAAAATGACTTAACTACATGGTAATATATTTTTCGGTTTGTACACATTTAATCCTTAATATTTTTGAACCCATTTATCAATTAATTCATATTTTTCTCACGGCTTCCGGCATAAGACAATCATTAGTGAAATGTTGTCATATGTGGCTCGTTATTCACTTATATTAGTAACCTAATTCATATATTGGTCAAATAATATTAGTGTTCTAGTTTTCTCCAAACAAAAGATGACTTCGTCTTCAATTTTATCCATCTTTGTAGCAGACAATAAGATTTTTTGTGATTATTTCTTCCTAACTAGAATTTGCACTTCCAAAACAAAAAGAATTAAGAAAAACGCTAAAAGAATTTGCACTTCCAATACAAAAGAACACATTGGAAATAGTTTTGAAGTCGTCGACATCAATTCTGTTTTGACCTTGAACTTCTCAAGAAAGGAGACCATTGATTGACAAGTTACAAAATCTTCACTTACGGATGTTACCACATCTCATGCAAATGAACGATCTATCAAAAAAATATTACAAAAAAAAAA